TCACATAGGTGTTCCTCCGTTCCAATAGCTATCGCCGTCACTCACATCACGATATACGTATTTGATACAATGCGCGATATCCGTTCCGTGGTGACTGAGCGCGCCACTTGTTGTAGTTCTCTTCAAATCTGGCCATTTCGGCGATGAGAGTGAGTCAGATAGGATGACTTTCTTTGCTCACTCACAAATGTCGTAGGTGCTTATTACTACTAGAAATGAAAATGAAAAAAATCTGCAGCAGTTGCTATAAACCTATTTATTAACAATGTAAAATATTTTTGTATATTTGTTTTATTATGGGAAGAGTTTATATTTTATATTTACGTATAATCTACTTTGTGCATTCTACTAGAAATACAATTACATTACACTTTATTGCTATTTTTAACAATCCAGAGATTCGCATTAACTAAGTAACAAACAAAATTACATTAAATACAAAATCAACTTTTTGAATGGAATTGAAACTTATTACAAAGGGAGTAAAAACTTAAATCATTCTATAAAAAACGGCTATAAGTATTAGAAAGAAGCCGCTAGCTAAAACCATATATCGTGATGTAAGTTATAGGCGTGACAAGGTCACGGATGTAATAGTCGTGACAATATCACTGTGATTTATCATCGTGATTTTTTTGGAACCGGAACGACAGTCACGGCGATAGAAATGTAACGCTATTCCCATGTCTAGTTCATGCCAAGGAGCTTATACACTACACTGGAAGTTGCAATTTAAACATCGGACTGAAACATGAAAAATGACTTTGAATGCAGCTTCTTATGTCTTGCATTTCTTTCTTTAGTTTTAATTTTAGTTTTGTTTGTTAATTTCAGTTAGTTTTTGAAATGAAGCAACTAAAAAATATAAAAACATGCACACTGCCTCTTTCTAGACATATCTTAAAATAGATTTAAGAGAAATCACTCAGTAACTATTAAATATTACTATTCGTCTTTGAATGTATAATTTGCATTAGACACGAACGACGTGTGAAAAGGATAAAACACATTGGCAAAGGTGAATGAGCTTGCCTTCAACATTCAATTCTTAATGCAAACTCCAGTGCAGTATGTAAGCTTCTTGGTTCATACTAAGAAAATTGTGACTGCAAAAGTGGCGCGCGCGTGTCACTCAGTGTCGCCAGTGCAGTGGCTTCTATAAGCGTCTAATTTGAAAGCGCCTTAAGAGTTCTGCATTGTATTATCTGATGACCACCTCTAAGTACTTAAACGGTGTCATTCAGGATGCCGATAACAATAGTCTTTAGCACACCAGAGTGCAACCGGTACGCACTTAACACGAGGCGAGATGAGGATTTTTTTAACGCACATACTCATAAAAACCCTGTGTCGCGGATGCCATGGACACATATAGGCAACAACAAATTACATACAAAGTCACGAGATAAATAAATGTAAGCAGTACAAAAAATTTTCCGGGTCCGGGGCGTGGCAGACCAGCATGGTAATCGTCCGGCCCTTAATTTCGTTAAGAAAGAAGATATCCATAATATTAACCTTAGAACTAAGTCCATACTCATGGTACCACGATTTCGTTTAACTAAGGTAATCGATTCTTTTATGGGGAACTGTATACGTTTTTACAATAATATTCCGGAGCATAGGTATATTAATATTACCATTTCGTAAGTTTGAAAGTTACATTAAAAGTATTTTAATTGAAAAGTCATATTACAAAATTGTAGACTACGTGTTAGATAAAGATGTATGGAAAGACAACGTGAGTCCAGATTCCACACAAATATGATTAAAAATGTATTCTGTAGTATTTAAGTTTATTTGAAAAGAGCAATCCCAAGAGTTTCTTGCTCGTTATTCACAGGGAGGTTAGCGTAGTGAACGAGCAGTAGCTTAAAATATGACGTTTTCAAGTGTAAAAATTTTACCTACGGATTAAACATCGAGTATGTAACCAGAAATAGAGACGAAATGTCATTTAATTTGTTTCAAAACTATTCTGCCGTATCATTACCGTGACAACTGCGCTCCGATTGGCCAGGCTGAATTCGAAACAATTGACGGGTGTCGTCAACTGTTTCATTTCAAATCGGCCAGTTAACTTGAGCTTTGCTATAATGGACGAAAATTGCAAAATTACATATTTGATATTTAATTACCGATGAAATGTGATTCCGTTTGTTTTGTAATGAGATGTTTTGCTGTTTATCCCACACCATCGAATAGAACAGCACGGCATTGTTAGAGATATTATCGTTATTACAATAAAGACAGTATATTTTTTGGAATATACGGAGACGTACACACAGGTCAGTAGTTGGCCTGCTATATTTCAGTGTAAACGAGAGTTGATATTTATTAGAGCTGTATCGCTAATGTGTTACCAGGAATATATGGCCCTTATTTCGTCTCTATTTCTGGTTATATACTCAATGGGATGAAATGATTATTTGATTTTGACTTTGACCGGAGGCAGTGTTTGTATGACAAAATTTCAATTCTCCCTTAACGCATCTTCGGTGGAAATGGCCTTGATTGACGAGTATGTGCATTGGAGTTATTTTGAACCGTATTGTTGCCTGAATAGGGTTATTAGGTAACTCTGCAACAGTTTCGTACGATGGAAAAGCACCGTCATAAGATGTTTATTAATGCGAGACGACTTAGTGTTAGCTCATTCTGATACTTACGGGCATCGTGGGTGATCAATCGCGCTATCAACGGCACCGAAGGGTACAACCTGAGGGACTCTTTTATCACGCATTCTAAATATTTCATCTGGCTCACTTCACTGAAAAATAATTGTAGATTTATTTTACGTTACTACATCATTTTTTTTTTGTAATATTTATTTGGAATGTGGTATAGTCACGACAACGTAGAGATTAGTTAGCTTTGTAACTAGGGGCCATAGTTTTCATATATATTTCGAACTGCATAAACAGGTTATGAGCCCAACAAATTTTCTTAGGAAACATAAGCGTTTGTATTCACCATTAACTAATGTGAAATATAATAACACGAATTAAAAATACCTTCCTCAGAACTATATAAATATTTATCCCCGCGGTTATGGTATTATTGAAATTTAAATTATAATATTCAATAAACAATTTCGAAAACTAGTTTGAGAATCAAGTTATTGATGTAAAGTGCGTCAACACGCGTGACATAATCTTAGCTTTTTTAAATGTAGATGGCGCTTCCGCCATCTACTCTCTTTGACCGACATATGACCTTTCCCATGACCAAATGTGGTAATAATCAAACAACTGCCGGCAACTTGTATCTCTGTTGTGCTCCGTTTTTAATAATAAATACCCTTTTTAATAATAATAATAATAATAATAGACAGATTTATTTTATAACCTCGTGCAAGATGATAAAATTTTAATTATGTCCGTTAAACTGTTATAAAAGATATAGAGAAACTTTAGTCATAAAGTAAGTGATATACACGTTTAAGTTGTGAAGATTGTTTAATTGTTCTAGAGATTTGTTTATATTTATATAGTAAGAGCCCTTTGCCCATGTGACGGACTATCGGAGGATTTCTCTATAAATTTTATATAGTACAATTATTTATATAGTAAATTTTAGATATAGCACAATCTTCTTTTGCGATAAAACATAATCAAGTACCTGTATGTGGGCTCTCTATTCGTGTTTCCAAGAATGGCCCTCTGTTCCTCTAGAATTTTCTCTTGAATATCTTTATGTTTCGCGAGATTGTACAGAGCAAAGACGATTCCAGATGTGGTAGTATCGTGTCCCTGAATGAACAGATTTTCTATTAATAATATAAAACTAAAGTTAACGCAACAATAAAAACAAACTGGTCAACTAATAGTGATCGATTAGTTGACCAACTTGTTCCAATTTAAGTTTAACATTTATATTTCCACGAAGTAGACTAAGGCTCAATATAAATTGCAGCGGACCGCAATGAAAGCGAATTTTTGTAACGATATTGTACATAGTATTTTATAATGAACATTATAGTCAATTGTGTAACGTAGAAACTAGATAGGTAAGAGCCAAAATCTTCCGCGGAATGCGCAAGCATTCTCGAGCATGCATAAATGACCAAAAAGTTCATTGTGCTATGTACAATATTGTTACAAAAACTCGCTTCATCAAGTCCGTTCCGCCGTAATATAAATTGAACCTAACGGACAAAAAGGGCAAATATTCAGCATTGCTGATTTTCAGTTTTCGCCGGTAACTGTTCACTTGCAGTACCAGGCTGATGTGCGGAGTATACATCAACTGTACCTACCTTTACGTAATGTCTTAAAGGCTGTCCATGTAAAGTAACTTTCTTTTTGTTTAACCTAAAATGAAAACGTTTTACTGCTCGTGGTTTTAATTGGGGACTAGTTGTTACTCGATTTCTATTCGTTCCGTCACCATTCCCATAGCATATACAGAACACTAAGTACTTAGAATAATAACGCATAGAAACCTAGCCCGCACACGCTAAGTGAGGCAAATTGCCCTATGGGCTTACACGAGCGAGCGGGCTGTCAGTGCTCAAGGTCAAGTTACACCGCGAGCAGCTCAAAAATTTTTGCTAAAAATGACGAAATGTGCGGTAATTAGGTTTAAAAATAGATCAGACAAATATAAAATAGACACTAACATCACATTCCACAAGGAAGTAACGCGTTTCAACTTGTATTTTTATGTAAATATTCACTAAAACAGAAAATTAATTTCGTTGCAACAAGATTCGAAAATGTTGCAAAGTAACGGGTTTTTCTCCCCATTTTGCTATTCTGTTTCAAAATAATTATATTACGTAATTTTTTGAGAATAGGCAATACCGCGACGGTTTTTATCGCATCGCATCGACGGTTTTTTAGGCAGTATCGCGACGCGAATTTCTAAATCCAAGATGGTTGACAACAATTTTCAAAAATGTATTTTTGGTAAACCATAAGGAAATGGCTTGTATATCTGAATACAAGATGGGGGACAAGACTTCTAATTCTTCTTCTGCTAATTTTTTGCCATCTTGGATTTATAAATATGTGCTATATTCGGAATGAGCAGCCCCTAATACCTTGAAAACGACACCCAACTTGTCATTATTCGAAAAATCGTGCCCGCCATCTTGGATTTAGAAATTAGTGCCATGTTCTTAATGAGCACCCCCAAATACCTCAAAAACGACACCCAACTTGCTATTATTTGAAAAGTCATGTCCGCCATCTTGGATTTAGAAATAAGTGCTATATTCCTAATGAGCACCCCCAAATACCTCGAAAACGATCCCCAACTTGCCAGTATATGAAAAATCGTGCCCGCCATCTTGGATTTAGAAATGAGTGCCATATTCGTAATGAGCACCCCCAAATACCTCGAAAATGATACCCATATTGCATTTATTTCAAAAGTCGTGTCCGCCATCTTGGATTTAGAAATTAATGCCATATTCGTGATGAGTACCTCGAATACCTCGAAAACGATTCCCATATTGCATTTATTCGAAAAGACGTGTACGCCATCTTGGATTTAGAAATGAGAAAAGTCGTGTCCGCCTTCGTGTATTCAGATATAAATGCCCCGCCTTCGTGTATTCAGATGTAAATGCCATTTCCATAAGGATTACCAAAAATAAATTTTTGAAAATTCCTGTTACTTGACGTTGTCGATCAACAGTAACGATCGACAAAATCGAGCATATCTGTAGGCACCTGATCGACAGTAACGATCGACAAAATCGAGCAAATCTGTAGGCACCTCTAACTTAACGATGAGTTAAGCAAGATACAATTTTCCCACTTTTGAGGGAAATGTTATTCCATGGCATCATTATTTGTATATTTGTGTGCGTGCCGACGAGCGTAAATACAAGTTGTTTACGCCTACATGAATTTGATTTTTGCCTCACTTGTGACAGTTCGTTTTTTATGAAACTATCATTCTATGCGTTATTATTCTAAGACTAAGTACTTTAGCAAATATTTTTTCCATCATCATCAAGTTATTGTACCTCCTTTCTTCGTCATTAGAGAGGTACTACTAAACATTTACAAAATTAAATGCTGACGTACTTACTTCAAACATAAATGTGTCAACTTCTTCCCTGATGCTCTCGTCATCTATTCTTGAGCCATCAATTTCAGATAATAATAACAGGTCCAAGAAAGCGTTTTTATTTTTAATACCTGCAATTATGAATGTTATTTTAATAGCCTGTGATAATAGTTTAAATGGCATCTTAATTGGTTAGCTGTCAATGTTAAAACCAGGGTTTGAAGTGATAATTATCATTATCGTTCACAATTATGTTGATAAATATACCTTGATAATTGTGTTAAATTTACAAAATATTAAAAAATGTCAATATTAAAAAGTCCGAATCGTTTTTTTTCAAAGGTTTTACATCATGTTTATTTAGTTTTCGGACGTTTTGTAATTTTTTATATAAATGCTGTGAATCACCATGGATAATTATTTGATATATTTCGCATAATTATCAAATAAATATAATCATAATTATCAAACAAAAAATAACTATAAATGTATAATAAATAAAAAAATAACAAAAAAAATGTTTGTGAACAATGGTATCAAAAGTCAACTCTACCACCATATTACAAGATTGAAATAAAATCTTGTTAGTTATCTCTGGTGTTTCGTATATCATAAAATCTCACCAAATTCAGAATCGCGATTAAAATCCTTAATATTAACATTTTTCACTTCCTTTTTCCGTGCTTCTATGACCTTCCTCGTCTGTCCATGTAACACGCTTAGCGCTTTCTCTTGTCGTGTCTTCAGTGGCAAGAGATTGAACAACATATCATATTGAAGAAAAGGGTTTCGCATACGGTATGACACCACGTTGCTCAGACTGCAAAAAAGAGTGCCGTAGTCAAGTTTTTTTTATGATATCACGCGACGGAAAGAACAAGTCGTGCACCTGGTGGTAAGCGACACGCCTGTTCATAACAGTTGCAGTGCCATTCAGAGCTTTAAATAATAATGATCTGAGGGCTACTGCTACTGCGCGCGTCGCCCAATATCATCGTGTGTTACAAACTATGTAATTTATAAATTGACGCTTCGTGTTACGGGTAGATGGAGCTAATCCTAAATAAAATAAAAGAACAGTAGGTACTATTTGTGCAATAAGTGCCATCTAGTTGATTTGTTTGTTATCACTAGAAATTAGAGTAACTTTGATAAAATTGCAGCTTGTCAATGTAAAACAAATTACTCACAAAAATAGATATCTGATGAGAGATATCGTCGCGACATCTCGTGTACGTATAGGTACTAAATACCCGACTACGCTGTCCTGTTTTGCATAGCGATTAGCGGTTCTCTTTGAGTAATTGATGCATGCCTTAACCTTGCAAACCGAAACGCAATATACCTAAGATTATTGCTTGGCGGCAGAAATAGGTAAGGTGGGAGTACTTCCCTGGACGAACTCTTTCACAAGGAGCTCTGTTGCTACTAAAAAGACGGTTATTTAGTTTATTACCTTATCAGTATTGCCGATATTAATTCCCGATATAGTCTTTAATTATTTTGTCCAGGGTTGTGTAGCAGATGGGACACAAGTGAGATGTAGGTCAAATGCACGGTTATTTATGTATAAAAAATGCGATATTTAGTAGATGTCGTCGTGACAAGTGTGAAGCCTGACATATTTTTGTAATTTATCTCCATCGAGTATATAACCAGAAATAGAGACGAAATAACGGCCATCCATCCCTGGCAACTTATCAGGCATATGGGCCTTATATTATTTTTCAATATCAACTCTCGTTTGCGCTGAAATCACAAATTAGAAAGCTGAAATAGTACAGAGCCAACAAGTGACCTGTGTGTACGTCTCCGTATATTCCAAAAATATTCTGTATTTATTGTAGTAAAGATAATAAATATCTCTAATAATGGGGGGCTGTTCCATTCGGTGATGTGGGAAACACAGCAAAACATCTAATTACAAAACAAAGGAATAACTTTCATCGGTAATTAAATATGAAATATGTAATTTTTCAATTATCGTCCATTATAGCAATGCTCAAGTTAAACTGGTCGGTTGTAGTAAAACAATGACGACACCAGTCAATTGTTTCGAATTCGGAGCGTAGCAATGATTTGGCAGAATAGTTTTCAAACAAATTAAATAACATTTCGTCTCTATTTCTGGTTATATAGGTACTACTCGATGCTTATATTTACAATTTGGGCAAATTATCATTACTTTGTGCGCTATGACCCTTAGTTATAGATATGTGTGTACATATGCACTTACTCTTCGATTGACTTCACGTATTGGGACTCGCTGTCTTTTTGAGCATTCACAGAAACGCCCATGATTGATTCTGTGGAATAATATACTGTGTATAATTTCGCCTATTTGATGTTTTAGTGCTTGATCTAATCAACAGCAGTTTGGTTTGACTTTAACCGACTTCAAAAAAGGAGAAGGTTCTCAATTCGACTGTTTCATTTCACCCATTTTTCCGCTAACCGAATTCAATAAAACTTGGTAAACAGATTTAATTCCACAAACCTTTGAGGTCAGTTTTTGTTTTATGAAAATGTTTTAATTATATTAAACAACAAAACATAACTTGTAATAAAATCTTTTTAAGTTCAATGAAAAGTTTTTCTTTAAAAATATTGTTGCAAATTAATAGAGCAGAGACTTAAAGCTGGCAGCTAAGTACATTAGCTAAGTATGAGTTATTTTCATTTTTTATTTTTTTTATTTGTCTTATTCCTTCTTCCTGTTGTTTCTTAAGTGAAGTGATCTTCCCACCTGTAACGTTGTCCAAAGCTGCTAAAGCAACGAGCGGGAATAAATCTATGTCCCTTCCTTCGGCCATATTGGCCAATTTCTCATTAAGAATTTTGGCATTTTTGCAGAAAACTGGCAAGAAATTCTGTAGAATATTGAAGTGGAACGCTGGTGTTAAGAATTTGCGATGAGTCTTCCATCTGTTGCCTGAAAAGTAAAAAAAAAATATCTGTAAAATAATTGTACGTGCAATTAAAAAAATATATATTAACCACAAGAGGTTAAAATTTAATGAGTCTATATTTAGTAAGAGCGTAAGAGTAACTCAAAATGGCGGAATTGGAATAGACGATTTAAAAGTATCAAAAAAAAAACAGAATGTATCTTATTGCGAATAATGTGATTATTTTTATTTATGCACAATATTTAGTGTCCATTTGTAAATGGAAATATCAATTTATTGATTTCATTCAGTAACTGTTTTAATAGCAGTAGACCTTCTTCTGAAATACTTCGTCCAGGGAAATATCGACTGCCACCTTACTTAGTGATGTGAGCATTATTATATTTCGGTTTTGAAGGGCGCTGGTGAAATTACAGGCACATGGGTCAACTTATGTTTCAGGGCGCAGTGACAGAGTCCCTCTCTGATCTTTGCGAATTAAAGCTCTGAATGGCGCTGCAATTTTTATGAACGTGTGTAGCTTACTTCTTCGTCCCGTCACTTGATATTAGAAAAAAAAAACCTAGACAACCACAAATTACTCCCAAACTCACGAGAGAAATAAATGTGGGCCATACATTGACTAACAAATAAATGGACGACGGGTCTAATACAAAAACCACGAAAAAAATGTCCCAAGTCAACCTATTTAAACGTAGTGACATGTAAAGGAATATGAAAAAGCTAAAACGTTGGATTTAAATTGTAATGTCATCGCAGTACTGTCTAATTTTGCTTGCTTCGCTGTCAGAACAAACGAAGTCTAAAGCGTGAATGACGCTCTGTATACGATTTTAACGCCCTATAAGTTCGGACACTTTTTAGCGCGGACCCGACGTCCATATAATTTAAGTCAATGGGGCCATACAAATATTTATCTCAGCTCGGGACCTATGCGTGGCAGACCAGCATGGTAACCGTCTGGCTACGTTACACAATACTATAGACTAATTTTGCATATCTAAGTAGTTATTATTTCATTACCTGTGGAAGTGAGCAGTCCTTGTCCCAACCACGGTTGCAAGAAATAGTAAGAGAAGCCTTTAGTTATAAATTCCATACTCGACATGACTGGCTGTAAAAAAGAGAACATGATGATCTATAGTTAAATTTAGTATATAATTGCAGAGGTTTGAAAGGTAAGGTGCTCGTAGAAGCGCAGCAGTGGGGCTTCTGGGACGTTGCGGCCTTGTACTACTAATTTTCACACAAGATTTAGAAGCGCAGCTGCAGTGCCATCCACAGCCGCGTCACATGGTATTACCGGATGAGTATTTATTTAATAATAATAATAATGATAATAACGCACACACTCGACATGGCCCCGCACTAGGGAAACCCTGTGTCGCGGGTGCCATGGACACAAATAGACAATTACAAATTACATCCAAACTCACGAGACAAATCGAACCTGGGACCTCTGCATGGCAGTCCGGCATGGTAACCGTTCGGCCACGGAGGCAGTTATTTATATATTCGTTGCACTATGCGAATCAGACCGTCCGCGTCCTCGTTCCTGCTATTATATAAATATTTTTTCATTTTTCGTGATCTAAAAGTATCGGGTTTTTCATTAAGGATATAACAAATTTGTATTTCAACAAAACACAGAATAATTAAGATGACGAACTGAAATTTGTACCAGATGCAGTACAATTATGTTACATTTAAGAATGGAATTCAGTCTCGTTCATATGACTACCACCGTTAGTCAAACTGTCGATCTATTGAAGAGGAAGTTCGATAATCGTGTAATTTCGCGAAATGGTCCGGTATACCTAATTGCCACCTCGCTTATGCAATCTAACGCTGTTGGATTACTTTTTATGGAGTTACGTTTAGCCGTTGGTTTCTGCTAACAAGCCAACAACCGTCCGATATGTGAGGTGTGGAAGGAGGTGGAAGGGTGGTGGAAAATTGGCTCCAAAGAATTGAACGCTGCAAACGTGCTCGCGGTGCCGGTGGTCATATGAACGAGATCGAATTCCATTTTTAAATGTAACATATGTACTGCACCTGGAATAAGTTACAGCTCGATATTTGGGTGTCATGTACCGGCGTTTCCGAGGAGGGCTACCGGACACCCACGTTGCGTCACACGTCGAAGTACATACGTGTAAATAAATAGTGTTATATGTATATTATCATGTTATATAATGTTATATGTATATTATCATGTTATATTGTATTTATGATTAGTCCGTAAGGTATTTATTTAATATTTCTGTTATATTATATGTATATTAGTCTGTAAGGTATGTATCTATGGGTCCTAGTTGCCTGAAATAAATAAATAAATAAAAAAAGTAAAATAGATATCTTAATTATTCTGTGTTTTATTGAAATACAAAATTGTTATGTCCGTATTGAAACACCCTACGTCGATATAGCCTACGTAGCGAGAGTAATGTGTTAAAGAATACTACGCAAGTAAGTCCCGTTACTTTTATACTGTAAGGGAGTAAAGTGCTTCATTTAATCCAATAAAGAGAAACTACCTCGTTACTAGTAATTTACCTACTTCGAGTGACCTAGATAAACTCAGAACAGCCAGTACGACTACGATCGGTTTTCGATCCGCGCCTTTTGCACATGGACGCTGGCGCCATGTTATTTTCCCGCGTTAGTACGTTTTTTATTACGATTTTTGGCTTGGATACAAGTCCTTTGAGCCAGGTCTTCATTTAGTTTTCAGCATCCTCAGTAAATATTTTCTATTTTGTTTTTAATGTACTTGTAGAATGGCAAAAAGAACTTTGGTTTTTTTTAATAGTCTTTCAATCGGCGGGAGTCAGTATTCTTATTTCAGTTTCACTTATATCACTTACTTCACTTGCTTATAAAAGTCGTTGAATTTTGAACACGGCTTAGTAGGTATTTCTTCTTGTGATCCTTCTTCCAGAAACTTTTCCATAATATTGTCAGTTAATTGAAAATGTTGAATATTTTGACGTCTTTTCACTTCAAATTCTCGTAAATTTTTCCGTTAGTGCGTTTGTGTATGGACCATTATAGTCGTTCAAAAGATGCTCATGATTGCCAAAGACAGCTAAACGTGGCGTTATGTTGCGTTTGTTGTATCTGTGTTTGGTTGGAAAAAGAATACCGCAAAACCTTCAGAATCAAGTTCCTGATTTTGTGGTAGAGAGTTAACGATTGAAATAGATAAATTATTTCTCGCAATAGAAGTGAAAAGTAAAGTTTTTACCTCAAGACTACCAATACAAACCCTCGGAGTAATAGACACCCCGCTAAAGCTCGGATGGTTAACCAGTCGGGAATGTATTGGTCCGTTTTAGTCCCTCGATAAAAAATATTCTATTTTCTCAAATAATGCGAGAAAATAATAAGACTAAAGATTAAGTCTTATAATTATTAATATCAAAGATCGAACACTTTAGAAAACATTCCTTTGCCAGAATGGAACACACATCTTCTAGCAAACCGTACCAGACTCTAGCCAACTAAGCTACGGAACGAATCCGCGGATCTTACGAATTTTTGTATGTGCGTTGCAGATCTCTGTTTTGGTTTTGAAATAGGTACTTTTATGCCGCAGCGCCGTAATCATTATAACAAACTAGTGGAGCAATTTTACAAAAAATAATTGAATACAATGGTAATAGAAAGACATCATGACATTCAATAAAAATTTGAAAAATTACTAAGACTTAAGCGAGAAACACACAAGGAGCGGGTGCGGGTCTACCGCGACGGGTCTAACAATTCCGTGCCACGAGCGCGGGCGCGGGACGTAATTAGTAGACCCGCCCGACTCAGACCTGCTCACCGTGTTTCATGCTATATCAGAAAAGAAGTAAAAAGTAATATTTAACGTTATTATGGTGATGTTGCCAGTGACCGACAAGCACCACTGTTCGACATGTTTTTTAAATACATTTCTAATAACATCTAGGACAAGATTTTCTATCACAGTAACACATTCGTTATTGGTAAGTATCTATTACTGTGTGTTAATTATTGGTGTGTATCGACTACTGGTTAGTTAATTAGTGGATTTTTTGTGTTCATTACTTGAGATTTAGAGAAATTCAAGTTTATTTTTTTTAGTACCTAATAGCTTTATTATGAAACATACTACAGCATACTCTGTCTTGAGGATTCCATTTGTCAAGTAAACTAATCACTCTTGATTTTAATTTAAAAACAAAAAGTTATTACAAATTTAAAGACACGCTACCCTTAAAATCCTGAAAGAATGTATAAAAAATATACATAAATTTTTAAATGCGTTGTGAAGGAATTTTCGAGCACTATAAAAAAGTAATACGACTGCTAATTTATTTATTTTATTTTGGAATTGGAAAAGTGTGTACTATTTCTTAGCTAAATATACCTAGTCGTTTGAAACAGTACATAGTTTGACTGCAGAATTCAAACGAGTCTCAATTGAACAAAAAGTTACAAACCGACACTCTGCGAGGCTAAAAATTCTTGTATAAAATTAAAAAAAATTTAAACACAACAAAAATTTGTGAAATATTTTTTTAGTTTCATGTCGATTAATAGGAATTGTTTATTTTTTTCATTCTTACAATTACGAACACTGGTGCCTGTAGGCAGTTGGCTGTGAGGTTTTTCTTTGATATTCTAAAGTTAAAAAGTTTAATTGACAAATTTTCTCTCTAAATTTGCTACTACAAATATTTCCGAGCATGTTTGAGAAAATCATAAGCATTGGTAGGGGTGTAAAATGCTTCAACAAATATGTCATATTTTTTTGGACGAATTGTTTTTATAGGCATTTAAAGATTCTTTTGTTGATGCCTCGCTAACAGGCTTCAATAGTAATGGTAGGATTTTCAATTTATTAGTGCCTGAGAACTTGGTAATTTGCCGTTATTGATAATACTTTTTTTTAATACTTTTTATTTCTCCACAAAATACAACAACAGATAAGAAGTACATAAATTTGTAGGAGCTGGTGCTTGCTATAGGCTTAACACCTGTGCTACAATGTACTATGTGTATAATGTGTAATGTTTTAAAATTAAAGTTTATTCCGTCTTTGTAATTAAATTATACGACTGGATTTCGAATGACATACATCGCGAATTCGATGTCCTTGAAAGTAACTGTACAATCTTATTGAACGTCATACAAATTATCAATTATTTTTCATATCGATTGTCAGATATGTGACTAATTAACTGCTGGTTAATCCTCCAAAAGTAAGTATAGCGATATAAGCCTGCGTAATAATAAGTCTGAAGGTTGAATCATTTCTTAATAGTACATTTTGTGCATGTTACATGGGCTTTAAATATGCAAAAATTATGAATAGAACGACACGTTCAAAAGGCTCGGACGCTTGTAATTGCTGTTCGACCCGTGCAGCATACAATGTTTTTCATCTCTTGCGATGAAGTTAAAAAAAGTAAAATTAGGCTTAAAAACGTTATACTTTAGTTCATATGATACAAAAATGATAGGTACGTGAAATAAAATGGATTGTATGTATGTTAGTTTTAATAAATCGAATTATGAAGACCACCGCGTTTTGGTGTTATTGCGCGAGGCGACACTGTGCCCGTGCACCCGGCCAGAGTGTAGAAATTAAAAAAGAATCATTACTCCCCGGCCGGGTGTATGTAGAAAAACTAAATTTTCTGCATTGTCTCGGGTCTGGGTGTTTCTGGTACCGCCATTGTTTCCAATTTCCATAACGAAAATGCTTTAGTTACTTTGGGATCGGAGCAATGTATGTGAGGTTGTCTAATACTTATTTGTAAAATCTTATTCGTAATAATATTGATAAAATAATTCATAAAGTTTAAGTACAGTCAAGAGCACATCAGTCTTCACACTTCGGACCATTGTCATAACAAGCGGCTCAGAGTTCAGTTTAAATTTTAAAGCGTGAAATGAAATGGCACGGCCGCGAGCCGGGTCGGGACCGCGGCAGGTCTAACTCCATGTATTTATATGGAGGACAATACATTGAGCGCGGGCGCGTAAGGCTCAACTCACGAAGCGTCGCGACGCGTCATGTTTTTCGCCTATAGCATATTCATCTCTATTTTCCCATTGTTAAGGTACCAATTTGTCTTACTTAGGCGCAGTGAGGTGTCAGACTGTGCTCCGGGCGCACTAATGCGAGTGCCGTCGCGCGTCGCCAGGCGGTGTAGTTGAAAAACAGGACGCGATGCTAAGCTTGGAGTCTGCGCCAGTGTGAGTTGAGCCTAAGCCTGAAAAGTCTCGACCCGACCCGCGCCCGACTCACGCGCTCTCTGTGTGCTCCACGCTTTAGTGTCAAGATTGACGTGCTCCTGACCCTATACACACCTCAAGGTACCTCGGATGTGATAGGAGTATATATCGTTCTAAGCCGATGAAACAAGTGGCTTTATCATGGTATGTTGTCACTATGTCCTCTATCTGTTTCAGAAAATCTGAAAGATACGTGTATATATTTTGTTATTTGCACTACATATTTTGTGGTGTAAGTTCTTTTTAGTTAAAAATAAAGTGCAATAGTAATAATTATATAATCATTATACACACACCGGCACCATTAGAGGAACAAAAATTATGAGAGAAAATTAAATACGTTTTGTGTCGAAATAATTAGACATAAAGTTGCAATTAACATTTTTCAACATCCACCTGGTAAAGCGTTACCCGAATTTTATTGAAAATAATCTAAATTAAAACAAAAGGATTTACTTAAAGATTTTGTTATAAAGCTTAACATTAATTGAAAGAAAAATTAATAAATAAAAAAATAATGTAATTGTACTTAATTGTAGGAAATTAAAATAAAGATATGAGGTAACTTTCTATTATCAGCTAATTTTCTATTTTCAAATTCTATATTTAAAAATAATAATGTAACCGTCCAGTTTTTTGAAAAACACTAATATTTCGGTGTTTTTACTATAGTGTTCCGTTAAAAGTTCCGGTATGTGTATTACTTGGTATTATTGACAAATAAAATTATGATATGATATATTTTTTAAATTTTACTTACGGATTGGTTCTCCCCAAAATTTAAACGCATTGCCCACCAATGGCAGGGGTGTAGGCCCAGGAATATTTGTTGTTTTACGATCACGTAACATTTTTATCCAATTTATAATCACAATTACCACTAAGGTAAAAGTGATTGATAAAAAAATTAACATTGTGAATAATTTTTAAGGTTATAATATTTAAAAATTACACCAACGTGTTGTACTGGCCGTTTGTTCATAATAAACTAAGAATATATTTTTACAAACGCTGTTATTGTCATATATTACTTGCAAACAAAGGAATATTTTTATAGATAACAACTATACAGTATGTGTTTTACTTAAGAGGGAGCATGCCAAAAAAGTCTTGACGTTGGCTCCGCCCGAATTTGTGAAACAAATATATGCCTGAAGTTCGCGTGACATGCGACAGGAGATGTTGAATTTTGCGCATTAAAAGTACCAAATTCGTTTTAGCGGAATAACTCTAAAACTAAAAAAAAAATCCGTAGTGACAGTTCTCGATCATGCATAAATATAATTAATTATCTAATTTTTGTCCTAATAACCTGTAGCATTTCGAGGATAAATCGAAAAAAAATTCTTGATTTTTATCTATCGAGAAAACTTTATTGTTTTGTTTCTGATTAATGTCTATGCTTGAATATATCGTGTAGTTATTCATACAATATTTTATTTTTAACTTTAAAGTGGATATACCCCTCTAAAATCAAATCGAAGATTACGAATTTTTCCTCTGCTCCCTCTTAACTGGGCCTGCGCACAGTTACAGTTAAAAAACAGTAGAAGATACGGGAGAACTGTCTTATGTAATTTTTTTACGCAATTTTGGCATACGAGTTGTCAACTTTTGGTCTATGCGATCAGCAACAACAGCACGACAATGAGTCTACCCTCCTTGTCATAAACAACGCATTTGCGTTTCAAAAGTTATTGGAATTCATCTATTTGCCAAGTTTTATTGAAGTCGGTTACCGATTGATTTAAAATGGATTACCCATTTCCGGAGTACGAGAACGTAAGTAGACTCCAGGCACAGGCGCGGACGGTGCGCGGTGCGGGACGCTAGACGACTAACTAGACTTTATAGTGAATAACTTTGAGGCGTTATAATGTCAATATAATCTAATTTAGTATTGAGTGATAGTAAAAGAAAAATCACGTATTTAATTTTTTTTTACCAAAGATCACAATATAACATTATTTGGGTGGCGACTAAAAAGTCATTCTGTATATACTTCGTATAAGCGTTGCTATATTTGAATGCGCCGTCGGTGGCCCCGTTGACTTCTCTTGAGCATCATGGACTTATTTATAGTACACTAGTTTAAACCGGGTTCGAAGTGGTAATTCGAAGGTCATTTATAATTACCATCATATTTATTACTATAAGCGTGTCAAATGTCAAGTTAAAAAAAGATTAGAAACCGAATCGTTTTCCCAAATAAAAATAATTTCGAAACCTGATTTAAACTAATTGGTAAAAAAACGTGCTTTAAGACATATGCCAGTCAGGAAAAACGTAATGTCCAACGCGTCTGCGGTCTAAGCGGTTGCGCATGCCGTCTTCCTTGCTCTTATTGCATGGAAGTCAAGCCTTTTCTGGTTATTATTAAACAAGGTTATCTTATACTACAGTACCGGCACGCTATGATGGCCGTTTTGACAGATTACAATAGTGGGGGCAAATCTCAATTCATTATCGAACAAAATATAATCAAATGCGAGTCGCATCTATAAGTTTTTAGTTTCAAAACTAGTATTCAAGGGGTAGCTGATCAAAAAGTTATATTGTCAGTTTGAAACTGCTTTGTTTTACATTGATCTTTGACGCGAGTTTGCCGGAGGTAGAAGATGTGCAGGTCAGCGATCCCATACGTGACGATCGTATTAGATTTATTTTTTGAAAATTTCGAATTTCGAAAAACAAATGCCGACTTGTTTCGTAAAATTATACATACCATAAATTTTGCTGAGCGGACAAACGTTAAAACGGCCATCATAGCGTGCCGGTACTTTAATTATTTGTACCTCTCCCTTTGCCAGGAGTTCAGTAAGGTAGAATTACCCGTTGAAACTCTTGTAGACTTTTAAAGGTCATCCTGTGTATTGCACATTACATAATCACTCTTCTAATAATCATAAATATAATTAATTATATGTTTTTTGATAATGACAGTGTAGCATATCGAGTCGGATAACGAGAATATCTAGTGTCAAATATTTAAAAATTTATTACGTAGGCAACAGTAAAAAGATAAGTAGTTCTGATTTATCTAGATAATTTATAATATACTAATTAGTCTTAATTACATTTTTTAACACGTGTTTGACCACAATTTTACCTGATACAAGGTGAACAGCTCGCGGTTAGGTATTTATGTGGTGGCAGTGCTTGTCTGTCAATTTAGTGTGTAGTGTTGTAAGTAGCAAACACCAACCACCTGCTGTGCATGAAATTACGTAAGGCCCAGATAATAACTACCCTACCAAAACCTAACGGTGAGACCTCAAGAGCCGTCCCTATCATTTCTCAAGTGTAGCCCTACAACCTGACGGTGTGTAGCCAACCTAATTTTAGACAAAAAAAACTTTTTGTAAATAATTAGGAATTACATCTATTTGCCAAGGTTTTTTGAAATCGGTTACCAGAAAGTGCGCGAAACCCTTTAACAAATATGGAGTACTCGAATAACATCAAAGCAATCGTCTACTTACGAACCAATCTCATTATTTCCATTACTTCAAACTCTGTCAAATTTAAATTAATAACCTAGTTGAATTTATGCTTTTATAAGCACACATTAATAAAACATGGTTTCCTCAAACGTGTTTTTTTTTCGCAAAGAGTTATTAACTCTTATTCTGATTTAAAGACGCACCCACACTTGAAACAGATTTTATGGCGTGATGATTGTTTCCCGAGTTATTGTAGATATGCTCTGCAGAGGTCGAGTGTGTGATCGATACAAACATCTTGTATATACCATTACCGGCAATAGACAATTATTTTTTTATTATTAAGTGACTGACAAAAAAGTATGGAAAAGTCACAAGCTGATGAGAAAGTTGTTGCGAGAACATTTTGTTAAAATTTAAATGATACCAATACTAAGGTAGCCTCTTTCGAACAAAAAAGGAATCATCAAATTCAAAAACATGCATAAAAAAAACTCTAATTGAGAACCTCCTCCTTTTTTTGAAGTCGGTTAAAAAGATAGATGGAGAAATGTATATACATATATATATATATATATATTATATATATGTAATCTGTCACCAGGAGACCTATGGTAACAAACGGGCTGCCTGTCAAGCAGTGAGGTGCAGGCAGTAAGGGTGTCAGCCACAGTGGGAGGAATGGCTGGTAGTATGTCAGTAAGCAGGAGATGAGTTAAAATCGGATGTTAGTGGTTAAGTTAATTTAATAACAAATCTATTTGGCTATTTATACAAAACTTATCACTAATACAGTATGATCGATTTTTCTTAGTGTGCTATGTGTGTTGTTTGTTTGCCGACGAAGCTCCTTCTGTTAATTGGCAAACTATGTCACTATGTTGCAGTGTATCATTTGCAGATAAGGCCAATTTTGTTTCAGTTTAATTTAATTTAATAGTTTAGTTTAATGTACGTCACTGTCTTGTGCTTTATTATTATATACATGATGTTCAAATACAAGGCGACAACGTGATCGACGACGGCACGGCAACAATTCCTATTGATTCTAGCCTCGAATAGCCCCAAATTGTAGCCCCGTTTTCTGCCACGGCAACTGCTTCAACTCCGCTGTTTCTGATGGTGGCGCTCGTGCGCTCTCACGTGGCTCACGTACCCAAAGTTATTAGTAAAGAACCGTGCGCATATGGGGCACGTGAGCACACCGTCAATGTTGTGGTAGCTGATTGACTCATGTGGTCAGGCTTTCAACTCGTCACGTCTGACAAATTGTGACGTTTTGTTTGTCACAAAAGATCTCCATTGCGGGCAATCGGCTGCTTTCTCCTTCCACTCCGTTGGGTCAATGTCGCATTTTTCATAAGGTACTAAAGCACATCTTTATTTCGAAGGAAGTTGGGTTCGTACAAACGTAACAATGCACACATTAGCATAATTTCGCGTTGCACTCACCTCAGAAAGCGTTCCCATTATTTCGTGACGATAGATAGTCGTGCAGTCTAAAGTGTCGTTAAACGCTGTTGTTGAAGTTACCATGCTTGTCTTATACTATGACAGAGCGCTTCGTGCTAAATGTGTGTTTTTTTAATAATGCAAAGTAATGGGACGAACCAGTCTTGCGCCTGGAGGTAAGCAACATGCCTATCTATTTATCTATATATTTTACTGCTACCACTATTGTATATCAGTATGGAGTGTTCTGGACTTTCTAGTCAACCAAAGAAGGAACGGTGAAGGTAAGAAGCTAAATTGCAAAATACGTATACGGTCTGTTAAAATCATTACGCGCCGACAGTGTCCTAAACATTTTCTAATATGGATGAATAGAACAAGATATCGGTAAAGAATTAAGATAAATAATTAATCCACACACTCATAGCCCCGCATTAAGGAAACCCTGGATCGCGGGTGCCATGTACACACACATAGATAACCACAAATTACAGCCAAACTCACGAGATAAATAAATGAAGGCTATACAAATATTTATCCCGGCCTGGGAATCGAACCCAGGCCCTTTGCGTGGCAAACCTGCTTGGTAACCGTTCGGCCACAGAGGCAGTTTAGTCGGATTTACAATTGTCTGACGGTATCGGTTTCATATACACAGCACAAGCCGTCATGTCAGATTGCGGCAATATAATTCCAACCAAATTAAATGTAAGAAAAACCGCATCACGACATGACACGTCAGACAAATGTAAATCCGGCTTTAGGCAATTAAAGAAATAAATGAACGGCTTACTTTTTCAACTAGCGCTTACCTCAATATGTTTAGGGTGGGTGAACACCATGTAACGTTCCGACAAGATATAAAGAAGCACCCTGTCTCCATATTCCTCACGAAATTCTCCTAAGGTTTTCAGAAATTCTGAAACAAATTAAAATTATTCTTAATATATTTTTAATTAATCCGTTACAAGTCCTAAAGACTCAAGGTATGTCTCTTACATCAGTTGTGTTTTCATTCAAAATTTTATATAATAATTCAATTGAATGAAAAAATATTTTAAAAAGTTATCAAAATCGTGAAGGACACCGTGTTTCAT